GCGTTATGCTACTGTTACATTTATATTATGTTGCAGTGTTTGCTGGGAATTAATATATTGCGATCAGTAAATTTAATTGTTCGATTTATTAATCAATTCTATTTATTAATGAATTCTATTCACAACCGATTATTACAGTAAACTGTAATTATCTATAGCTTTAGTGTCTTGATCTATTTGTTTATTACTATAATAAATGTCACCATTTGAGAATGCTATGTAAGATAGTGTGAAAGTTTTCGAATTTAATTCCTTCGCAAATTTGTCACAATCCAGTAACCATACTGCAGACATATTAAAAGCATTATTCGGATTAATTTTGTATTTTTTAATGCTATTTAATCTTTTTTCATTTTGCAGCAATTGTCTTTCTTTTTTATTACGACTAAAAAATTGTTTTTTCTGCTGGTTTGTTTTTTTCAATTCATAAGTAATAACAGTGGTACGAATATATCGATTTTTATCAGAGATCATTTCTTTTTTCAATCTGCTGTGGGCATGTTTCTCTTCCACTTTAGAATACTTATTATTCTGACTTATCGCACTTTTTCTTTTTCCTTTATCTAACATATTTTCATTCTTTAAATTTACTAATTTTCCCAATGGCGATTTGCGATTCTTATTAATACATGACACTTTATTATCTTGAATATTTTTCAATTTATACATTTCTCGTGCTATTTTTTCTTCATCATCACCTAATTTCTCGTTATGTTTATAAGTATCATCTGTTTGTTGTGCTTTCTTTATGGAGATATCAAAAATGTTTAACTTTTCTCGAGTTTTACATTCTATGCTAGTGCGTTGTGTTCTGTGACTCATTACGTAATATCTTTTCTCCCTCTCGCGCATTCTTTCTTCATCATTATAGTAATCTGCATAATGTTTCCAGTTATCATTCAAACCTTTTATAAATTGTTTTTTACCACGTTTTACATCGAATACAGGCGATTTCAATGATGACGCTTGGTTTGCTATTTTATTTATTTGACTTATATTGCTCTCCAAGTTCATGTAGTAATAATTCGGTATGTCAAGGTAATGTTTTTTATTAGTAAAAATTGGCAAATTATCTTCCTCACTTGCTTTGACCTCATCATAATTACGCAATTCCATATCTTTTACTTTATTCTTAACATTTACTTTATGAATCTTGCACACATTTAGCATAATCTTTTTCCATTCTAAATGTAAAAGAAGAATTTTTATTCTAACACACTATATGTGCATAATTTTTCTCTCAAAAGCATTTCAGTATTGTTTACTTCTATGACATAAGGGATTATATGTAGTATATGTTATTTCTTTTAAAAAAATGTAATCTCTACCTGGCATTATTGAAAATTCATGTGGCTTCCACTTTTTAGGGCTATTATTTTTCTTTTGCATGCTTCTATTATACTTATACACATTTTTAATACTTCCTTCATTGTCAGATTTGAGCATATAATTGCGCAGAAATTCTCTTGGATGTACTCCAATTGAGTTTGCTATTCTTTCAAGATTTTCTAATTCTTCATTGTAAAACGCTGCCGTTATACATTGAAATAATATGAATATCAATTGTATTTTCTCATTAATAATATTATTTACCTTTACATGTGTGAGGATTCTGCGATCGTCTTATATTGTTAATGTTACAAGTTTGAGAACAAAAAAGAACCAATCTGCATATCGGACACCAAATTAAGACTTTATTGTGCATCATAAAGCATTCAAAGCAAACCATGAATTTCTTCACCTAGGTAGTGCAGAAACAGTGAGCATGAGTAATACAGAACATATATTTGTAAATTCCGTTAAAGCATGTAATCAGTAATTCAAGTACTAATTGCATGTTGTTTCGAAACAATAACAGCACATATATCAAGATATTCAGATGTCATTGAGTATCACGAAATAGATTCGGTTAATTTTTCACTACCTTCAAAGCACGTCAAAATCAAAACGAATTCAATAAAGTCGAACTCAGTATAATTTCCTTCAATCATTTATTAATAATTGCCATTAGAATTCTAACAATAAACTATAACATCATATTTTTTCAAAATATTGATGTCTAACCACCATCCAGCTGATCAGTACATTATTTATATTGAATCGCTCAATGAAATTACGCAATAATATATTATATATTTTTAACTAGCATACTTCAAGTATCCTAAAGTTTCTCGCTCTTTTTCTAATGCTGTTTTTACTCTCCCGAATATCGTACTATAAATTGAATTCAATATGTATATTATATGTCTAACAATATCAGGGATTGTTTTTATAAAATTCGTGTTGTTATTGATACATAACTCAAATATCTCACTTAATAGTGTCACGTGAAGAAATTAAGTTATGCGTGCTGTTTTCAAGATAAACGATCATTTAAAGTGCAATTGATCTAATCGCTATTAATAGATAAAGAACTTACATCAGGATCAGTTTCGGGCGGATGAATAACGTGCCTTTCAGAATATTGTGTACATTCATCATTGGTTATTACAGGTCTATTGTTATCAGAAATTCCTGAAATAATCTTTTGAGCATTAGCAGCAATCTACAATTAAAAAATGTAAATGTCATTGCGTCGTTTACGTCAAGGCTGTAATATTTCAGAAACATCATTTTAACTAACGTAACAGTAAGATTCTTAGTAACGTAACAGTACATTGAATAATGATTATAGACACAATTGCATTTGAATATAAGTGAAATTGTATACATTACTATGTTATTTGATGTTGATATTCTCCGTAATTTTGATCCTAGATATGCAATTAATACTTTCTTAATGTCTTCATGACCATATTTCATAATGCTCATAGTAAATGCCAACTCCGTAGCGTTCATCCATGCTGATGCAAATTTCATTAATTTATCATCCAAATGTGATTTAGTTCTGATTAGATCGATCTCAGAATATGAATAAGAGTTAACCATTTTTCTAACAATCTTTCCACAAATTCGCCGTTTCATTAAATTTCTGGCGGCATTCTCTAAAAAAGTTATAATTTCTACGAAATATTTATATATTGCCCTAACAGATTTTTTTTCTTCATGTTCCTTCAATTTACTATCCATTTTGATATCACTGACGTTTTCCGATGATTTATGTATCAAAGAATGTAATTCTTCTCTTGCATACTCTAATTGGTTATAATCTCGGCTTATTATCTATAAATTATTTAGGAATATTATGTATTCCACTTCTCCTTCGAAGCAAACTCGAAAAAGTGTTTAACAAAGAGAGGCGAAAAAGAACATGAGATTGGAGATTACTTCCATACCTTGCACCGAGTGAGAGGACAACCGCCGAAGTTCATTAACAACGGAATCTGCATATAAAGAGCAATATGCTTTACATGTTGAGTTATTGCGCATTATTGGACTGTTGTTATATGTTGCATTATATTTTTACCGATTTTTCTATGAATGAAGCAGACAGTTTCTCTTGCAACCGGCAAGACACCATCATCAGCATACAACTACCTACATCATATCCCAATTGTTCGTTGACATTAATTTGACCAGTTTGCAGAAGTAATTTCATTGCATCTATGTTCTCTGTATTAAAAAAAAGAATCATTATGGAAATGCATTTTACGAATCTGTATCAACGAAAAAAAAAGAAAATTAATAATGTTGCAATATTCAAACAAATACAAAGTAAAGGTTACACATTGATTATACATATATGTATAATAGTCACATAAATCAGGTATTTTATAAATATTACATTTTTTAATAGGAAATTTTATCATTACCTATGAGTTACTATTATTTTATATTTGCCGAGATAGAGTGTGCTTCAAAATTTACTAGAAGTGATGCAAACATCGCGCGTTGCATCTTTGTCAGATACAGAACAAGAAAAGTTTATATTGTTAAGTTATATTATTAATATCATCATAGTTGTAGTACTTGTAATACATTATAAAGATTTCTATAATGTATAGTAGCAATATATTTTTCTACAGATTTAGTTATACCAGTACACGCATTGATATGGACCGATCAGTTTCAATATCTTATCAGGTTATCATGAATTATTTACCTTCTACAATTGCCAACGAAAGAGCACTGTGTCCTTGATAAAATTGGTAACTTTTGTTACTCCCATTGCAAAGCAGGGCGCATACCAATTGTGTCAAAAACTTTAAGAGCAAGAAATGGTATTAACATAAGTCATAAGTATTCTACATGTCGAGGATGGTACTAAAAGTTTACTTGATTTTTATCTGTCTTATAATCCGATCTAAGAGCTAAGAGATGTAGAGCTGTAAAACCTTGACTGTCATCAAGAAATTCCGTTGATCGACTTTCTGACACACGAGCTTTCACATCTGGACTGTATTGGAAAAAATATATAATAATAAATGAAATTATGTTTCAATTTGACTTATATTTTAATGCTATGCCAATATAACCGTTACATAGAAAACTAAAATATGTATTTAAGTATTTGAAGCAGGAACTATGTATTGTAGTATATATTATACCAACAATATTTATAATACTTAGGATAGGTACATTTTTTATAAAATCTTACCGATACGTGGAGTCAGTCCTAAGGTTAACATCGGCATTGGCATGTATTAAAGACTTGGCTATTATAGAATTATCGAAACTTGGTTCAATTACAGCCAAAATATGTAACGGCGCTAAAGAATATTCCTATGTAAAAATGGTCGATTAAATTTATCTGCTTACGAGACAGAAGATTATAAAACTTATTTTGTTACCTGTTTGCTAAGAGTTACATTTGGATCTGCCCCGTACAGTAATAATTGCTGTACTAAATTCGTGGACTTACTGAATATTGCCATTATTAATACGGGATATGGTGCTGTAGGATAATTTGGATTTGCTCCTCTGGTTAATAATTTCAGTATTGTTTTATAAGTTTGTGTTTCTCTATAATTATATTTATATATCTTAGAATATTTACATGTATACGATCATTGGAAATAAATATAACTAAGTTTAAACTAACTTTTCAATATTTCTATTTATTTCTCTTAATTTTCTTCTTTCATTCTCTTTATTAGAAAATACTTCAGGTATTGCATTCCAATCAAAAATGTAGTTTTGTATTTCATATTTTTCTGATGGCAGTCTTTCCTCAGACTGTTTTGCATGAAAAGAAGACCTAAAATCAATGAATGATGATTGCTTATCAGGACAAAACTGTCCCCATAGAGTTTGATATGGAATCGTACGGTAATTCATTTTCTTTCATTCCTTCCAGATTAATATTAGATGATACTGGCAGATCTCCATGAATATTTAAGATTTCCTTAATTTGTTTAATACTTTGATAAAACTTCATGTTATGCTTGTGAATGCCACTTTGCAGTTTCCAACATGATTCTATATGATAGATCACATCTTTTCCAATCTACATAAAAGTATAATAAGAGATCATCCAGCATCTCATAATATCTTGATACATAATTTTTGCATAAATTTGCAATCGCACACCATTTTTATAGATGTATTTGATTTAATGGGCTTCTATTTTATACGTACATTCAATCGCTTTGTCTCCTTACTTCCATTATTCGTATTTGTCAATATGGTGTAATCATTTTGTTGCTCGTGTATTTCAATGGGAATCTATAGAGACAGGAAATAAAAAATAAAATTATAAGCAGACACGATGGCTGATCATTTTGGAAATTACAGCGATATTTTTAAAAGAAAACTACCCACACAGCACACTATATTTCGAAAACATTACAACAATATTC